AAAGTACAGTAGCTGTTCAAGATGACCAAAATCCTTGTTTTATCTCAACATTTAAACCTTTGTTGATCACTATGGACAACAGATCCCCAATCTGAATGTATCCTCCAAGGTTTATCACATTATTATATTATACAGTATTTATAAAGCACCGATAGTTCACTCAGCGCTGTACATTACAAAGGGGGACAGAACATGTGACAGAACAATACCAATACAATGCAAAACATGAGGGGATTGAGGGCCCTGCTCTTTCGAGCTTACAATCTAGGAGGGAGGGGATGGTGGCACAGGAGGAGATAGCTGTCAGGGATGGAGTGGTAGGAAGAGTGGAGGAGGTCAGCAAGTTAGCAGGGGGTGGGGTAGGCTTCCCTGAAGAGATGGGTTTTCAGGGTGCGCCTAAAGGAGAGGAGAGTAGGTGATAATCTGATGGGTTGGGGCAGGGAGTTCCAGAGGATGGGTGACACCCTGAAGAAGTCCTGGAGGCGGGCATGGGAGGAGGAGACCAGGGAACTAGAAGTTTGGCTTAAACATCTACTTTACTGTTTATTTTTGTTCTGCAAAAGAGTTAAGCTGGCCATACATGTACAGATTTTCGTTCAAGAATTTTCATTTCAAGAATATTCATTTGATTTTCTAATTGTTAGTGGGGTCAAATCGATGTTCGTTTTCGACAGCAGTGATGATAAAATTTGAAGGGGCAGGAAGGAATACTATTCTCGATCAAACAATTTTTTTTGGACAGTGGTTGTGGTTATTGTTCAGAAATTACTGTACATTCATTTTAAAGTCGAATGTTAAAAGCAAAAGACAATTTTCAAATGACATTTGTCCATTCATCATATGTTCAAAGAAATTTCATACGACTTTTCTTAAGAATATTCTCGTCTGAAAAGCTATACATGTTTGGCCAACCTTAGGCTAGGTCCACACTACTGCAGCTGCATTTTGTACAGATTTTTAGTGCAATTATATAAGGTTTGACTTGGTTGCATTTTGGATTTGGTTTGCTTATTCTAAGGGACCAATATCACACTGGAATTGCACCAAAGTGGAACAGGATCCTTTTCCAAAATTGCACCATGCACTGTTGCATTGATTTGAATGGGCACCATTGAAAACAATGGGATTTCCATTATCATGTGATTCTGTGTGACTCAAGTCAAATTTTAAATTGCACTTGTGTGATCTATGCCTTAGTGTTGAAATGGGCATAAAGTAACTTATATGTTTAGTCAAAAGATGAGACAAGGTCTCTTAAAATAGCATAGGCAGTAATACATAGACATAGACAATTTATCAAATTGCTGAACAAAGCTAAAACTGCTAAACTGACCTAATCACAGGCTGCTCAACAGGAGTAAGTACGAACTCATATGGCAAAGCCCATATAATTAAAGTATAATAGCTTGAGAAACTATGAAACCCTTAACCAAAAGTATTGTTTGTCACCGTTAACATCAATGGCTGCAAAAAAAGTGAATATCTCCTAAATGGTAGTAAAGTTAAAGGAAAACAAAAAAAACCTTTCACCCTGCACGTGCAGGGGATTCATAGCCACGGCACAGAATGCTGAACAGATGGCATACACATGAACGCATGCACCGGTAACATCACTGGCTGCAGAAAAAGTGAATATCTCCGACAAGTACTGTTATGATCCGCCAGGTGGTGCCTCCGGCTGCCCACTTGACAGACTTACCCAAAGCGTGGAGTCTAAGTCCCGGTCTGTGCTTTCACCAGGGCCCCTGATGGTGGGGATGGACTTGAAACAGACCAGGACCAGGTCACGACCTCTGAGCAGGCCCACCAGTGGCAGGGGGAACCTCCGGGGATGTATTGGTACCGGGAGAGCCAGATGTGAGGAGGACGGCAGGACCTAGCAGGATGGATCGCGAGCAGTGGTCCCGTGGGGTAGGCGAGGTATAGAATCGGAAGGCGGAGAATCGTCAGGTCACACGCAGGGTCAGCAGGATAAGTCAGTCCGTAGATAGGTCAAACAAGCCGGGGGTCAGGATGGGAGAACGCAGAGTAGCCAGGAACAATCCGGGTCAAACGCAGGAGAAGGCAGAGTAGTCAGGACAATCCAGGTCAAATACAGGAGAAGGGAGCGTAGTCAGGGTCAATCAGGATCAAAAACACAGGTACAGGACTCAGGAACTCAAATAGACCTTGCGGCGATCAGTGACAGTGCAGGGCATCTTTAAATATCGCGCCCTGCACTGTCATTGGCCGCCCAGGACGCGCCCCCGGGCTGTCATTGGCCGCCCGAGGAGCGCCCACGGCTCTCACTGCGCATGCGCGGCATCCTGTCATCCGCGGCTCGCCGGGACCTGGTGCTTGTGTCCCAGCGTGAGCTGTCGCCAGCGCGCATGCGCCGGCCGACAGGACGCCGCGATCCCTGACATTGCCCCCCCCCCCCATGGGCACCCTCCGGGAGCCCCACTGATCTCTCCACCGCGGGTGGCCACGAAAAAAATTCCCGGATGAGCCTGGGGGCGTGAACATTCTTGATGGGTTCCCAAGAGTTCTCCTCAGGGCCATAACCCTTCAATTTTATCAGGAACTGCATCTGGCCCCCCCTCTTTCGGCAACTGAGAATAGATTCTACCTCATATTCCTCTTGTTCACCTATGGTGACTGCCTCGGGAGGTCTGGATTGGCGATCCGGGAAGGAATCTGGTCTGGATGGTTTCAGGAGAGAGACATGGAACACAGGGTGTATTTTGAAAGATTCCGGGAGCTCGAGTTCGTAGGCCACTTCGTTGATTACCCGTACTAATTGGAAACGGACCAAGGTACTTCGGTCCTAACTTCCTCGAAGGACACAGCATTTTCAGGTTGGTCGTAGCCAACCAAACCTGATCCCCTGGCTGGAGCAACAGCTCTCCTCTTCTCTTCCTGTCGAACGCCTTTTTACTGTCTTCTTGGGCTTTAGTGATGGCCTCCTGAATCGTCTTATTATTGACAGAAAAGAAATGCAAGACATCTTGAGATGCGGGTACCGGATTTTCAGGCATTAGGTTGGGGAGAAATGTAGGATGATATCCGAAATTGGTAAAAAACGGTGATTGTCCCGTAGCTGAGTGGTTCGAGTTATTATAGGCGAACTCTGCAGAAGGCAACAGTGTTAGCCAGTCGTCCTGAAGGTAGGAGGTGTAGCATCTTAGGTACTGTTCCAACGTTTGATTGGTCCTTTCCGTTTGCCCGTTGGTCTGTGGATGGTAAGCGGATGACAGTGACAGTTTGATTCCTAATGCTTCACATAAGGCTTTCCAGAATCTTGATGTGAACTGGACTCCCCGATCCGACCTGGTGCTTGTGTCCCGGCGTGATGATTGGAAGAAATGCATTTCCAATAACTAGGAAAAGTCACCTCTCTTCCTCGTTCATCTATCGACACACCTATTGTAGCTAATCGTAATATTGGGCCTGGGTATTCAGAACGTAGGATGTGGTGAGAGTGGGTGGCATCTAACACCATCCTCCTCTACTGTGATTGCTGAGATGGCAATAATGCCACAAGACACTGCCTTAGTCATGAACTGCACTCCAAAAAACATTCATGGTGGTAATTCTTCTATCAGAAACATCTCATGTATCTCATAATAAAAAAGAGAAGTTGAAAAGGAAGAACAAAAATAGGAGCACAATGTCAGAACTCAATTGATTTAGGATGCATCAGTCCAAATAGAAAGTCACAAAAAGAATTTTAAAAAAATGAAAATGAAAAATGGTGCCTGTTTGAGTTATTGTAATTCATTTTTCTGAGTAATGACATCTGCACGCTCACAAACACACAGTTGCATCAATGATTTGTAGCAAAGCTTTAAGTATTTACTGATATCATCGCGCTTATGAACCATTTCAGCATTGATCTCTCTGTCCTTAATAAATGACCGCAGGAAAAAGACATTTGTTTTACCTTTGTCTTTCTCAGATGAAATGACTTACAGCAAGAACAAAAGTTGCCATTCGTTGTGTTTGGGTGAAAAGGTATAGAAACATATTGTTTGATTTCTTACAACTAAATTGGGACCCTCTTTTCATGGCTAATGAAGCATGGTATGAAGAAAAGAAGGTCATATCTTATATTAAAGAAAACTCATCTAAACAAAAACTCTTCTATAGTTTCACCACCCTAAACATCAGCTTTTAAAGCTGAACTCCAGGATATACAATTATTACTTAAAGCTGCACTCCAGGCATACCATTTATTTAAACATAGCACTACCCTCATAGGGGCCACTGCATTTCATTTGGGTCCCCCTAAGCTTTGCATGGCCAGGCAGCACACATTTTCTACACGTGTGCCTTCAGAGTCAGCAAAACAGTCCTTGAGCTGGTTTTTATTAGAGTTTAACAACTTGGATAGGGTCTAGGGGTATATGGGATGCCCAAGGAACTGTAGAACTTGTGGACAAACTTCTTTGCAACTATGTACAAAAAGTGTGACCTGGCAAAAATATAGCACTGTCCCTTTATGGTATACCTCCTCAGACCTGGATGAATCCTCTTCACCAAGCTGTGTTGAGAGTATCCCTGAGCAAGGGGTTTCCAAGAGCTTGCAGTTAAGCAGTCCCAGATGAAGACTAGTTGGATATTGCACCTGACCATCCTCTCTCCTTATCCGGCCCAAGGGGTGCAGGAATACTCACACTGTCCTGTCAGACCTTTCGCTGGTCTGTTTCCTTCCCTGCTACTCGGAATGTCCTCCCTAGGAGACTTTGGGCAGTGGAGATCTGTCAGGGTCCTATCTACAGCAGAAGTCCTGGAAGACCGGGCATTTCCGCCAGTACCCTACATGGCCGCAGAAATACATGCATCAGGCCCAGTTTTGGCGCCAAACAGCCTTTATAAGGAGGTTCTTCACTCCCTCAATTTGCTGTATGATCTCTAGCTCCCAGTACCTTGTTCCTGGTTCCTGTGTTATTGTGACCTGTGACTTCCTGATATCGACTCGGCTTGATCTTGGACCTGTCTACTCTGCTTAACCCCTGATCTGACCTCAGCTTGGGTAACGGATACTCTCTCGCGCGCTTCTCTGTGCATGACCTCAACTATCCCATCTGACTACGTCTGCTCTGATTCCCACCTGGTACCTGACCAGTAATCTTCTTTTCCCAGAAGGGCTTGCATACCTCGCACAGGCGCCATCTGTCTGCAGACCTCATCTCCGTGCATCAGCTGTGCTCCTGGGTGGACCACCAACAAGCACCCTTACAGGCGACCTGCGCCACTTTGGGCCTGACTCCCGCTGTCCCACTCTCAGGGGAATCTGGAACTTAGCCGCAAGGAAAGCCCTCTCTCCATTGGCCTCCATCACCAGGTACCTGATAAGATCCTCCTGTCCAGCAAAAAAACCTGTAGGTATGCTCCCCTCCCTGGGCTTCCTTTCCCAGGATCCATACTTCAGCCTTCTTTCAATCCGTCTTTCACCCAACTCCCCTTGCTCCCCAGGCTCTGTCATATTTGAGCGTTGCCCTTGTCACCATTCCCAGCCTCCTGCTAGGGAATTGACCAATGTCCCTCAAACATGCAGATCTGGGCCTCCTCCCCTCCTCCCCTGTTTCAGAAAGTTTTCCAGTATCTGAAAGGGTTTGAGGGCTCCAGAAGCCCTAACCTGTAGAAAAACCTAGTCTGTCCTGAGGTGAACTCCTGCCTCACTCCCAGGCTGACTCATCCCAGGCTGCTACTCAGCCTCTATCTAACAAAAAATCCTATCTGACTAACCTGCACGGCATTACATAAATATATTCCTTAAAAGCTAAAAGGGATATACTGTAGGTCTGCTTTATGTGTGCCAAAATGCTTTTCAAATCTAGATATCACCTGTAAAAGTAACAGTGACATCATCACCATCCTCCATATAACCTGGGCAGAGAGCAGAGGAGGAGTGTCCCAGCATGCCCAACCCACTACAGGCTGCCTGCAGAAGATTACAGGAGGGGCAGATATAAGACCAGTCACCATCCACAAGGAGAGAGCAGCAGTAAATGGTCTTTATTACAGGAAGCTCCTGTACAGAGGCAACATTTCATACTAGATTACTGCACATATATGGAAGAAATGCTCAAAGCACACCAAGATTCAAGGAAAAATATACATGCCTCTTGTATTTAGGCATTATATTTCCTGGGCCCAGCTTTAAATATAAGACCCATGTGTATTCTTACTTGAATCTTGCTGTACTTTGTTTATTTCTTCCAAATCTGTGCAGTAATCCAATATAAAACTTTGAAAAAGTGAACTAAGCTCTTCCGGACCCTGCTGCATGAGCTGGATGATGTCCTGTGCTGCTGATGTAGTGGTCTGTACACCTTACACCATAATACACAGTCCCGGAATGAGTATCCATCATAATGTTTGCAACAGTAAGCACACAAGGCTGTGCTGACCAACAATGAGAATTGCATCTAACACTTATACTTCTGGTAAGGTTTCCGAGAAGAAATAAGTGCTTCTCGGAGGGAGGGCAGCGCTTCTTGTGGCCATGCTGACCAATGAGTGCTCGCCATTGCAAGTGTTATAATGATACTCACTACGGGTTTTAAATTGCAAGTTATGGGCCGCTACACTCACAGCATAGGATTTCACGCCCGCGATGTACAGTTGGGTCTGGAGGGCTGACCAGGATATTTAAAGTTAGCTCATCTTTTCATTTCTTGTGAATAATGTCCTTACAGGATGTCTTCAACTTACAAACCGAACTCAATGCACTGTTTAATTGGGCAACTATGTGGCAAATTAGGTTTAATGTTGATAAATGTAAGGTTCTGCACTTGGGGGTTAACAATATGCATGCATCATACATACTAGGGGGAGTACAACTGGGGAATCAATGGTGGAGAAGGATCTGGGAGTTCTGGTAGATCACAAGCTTAATAATGGCATGCAATGCCAAGCTGTGGTTTCTAAAGCGAGCAAAATCCTCTCTTGTATTAAAAGAGGTATAGACTTCAGAGAGAGAGATATCATATTACCCTTGTACAAATCATTAGTAATACCTCATCTGGAATATGCAGTTCAGTTTTGGGCACCAATTCACAAAAAGAACATTGGGGAACTGGAGAAAGTACAGCAACCAAACTGATAAGAGGCATGGAGGAGCTCAGCTATGAGGAAAGATTAGAGGAACTGAATGTATTCTCTCTTGAGAAGAGGAGATTAAGGGGGGATATGATCAACATGTATAAATACATCAGTGGTTCATATAGAGAACTCGGTGTAGAGTTATTCACCCTGAGGTCATCACAGAGGACAAGGGGGAACTCTTTACGTCTGGAGGAAAAGAAATTTAAACTCCAAAGGTTTTATCACAGTGAGAGCTGTGAAAATGTAGAATAGACTCCCTCAAGAGTTGGTTCTGGCCAGCTCAGTGGATTGCTTTAAAAAAGACCTGGATTCTTTCTTGGATAAACAGAATATAACTGGATACTAACATTTATAGGTAAAGTAGATCCAGGGAATATCCTATTGCCTCTCGGGGGATCAGGAAGGAATTTTTTTCCCTGCAGGAGCAAATTGCATCATGCTTTGCTGTTTTTTTTTTTGCTTTGCTCTGGATCAACTGTGGGTATAGGATTATAACTTTGTTTTTTTTTTTTAATGGTTGAACTGGATGGACTTTTGTATTTTTTCAACCAGACTAACTATGTAACTATGTAACCTTTAACAATTTTATGGCAGTTTCTGAAACTGGAAATGGGAAGCATTTATTAAAAAGGGAAGTATGCCCAAAGCTTTTTTGGTCATGCTTTTCTTATGAGTCATAGGAGTGCACTTTTGCTCTCCTGTGACCCAGAGTCAACTATCAGCTGACATGGCATAGTCATTTCAGGCTCTGGAAAAATCCTGACCATTTTGTTGGGATTCACCCAGCTATCTGATTGACAGTTGGCTCTGTCTCTCAGCACATGGCCAGTTACTTCCGCCCCCTTCCTTGCCCGGTGCTCCAGTGATCACTGCAGGAGCAGAGATGAGAGTGGTGACTGTCAGTCACTGCTCTCTGCTCCAAGTGGACAGAGATTTAAGTGATCAGAGGTCCTGTGATCACTCAGTTCATAGTCTTAGAGCCAAATTAGGACTGCTGCAGCATTAAACCGATGCTGCAGCACAGAGGTGAGTATATAGGTTTTTTTTTTTGCAAACCCCAACCTTCTTCTTTAATATACAAATCAACCACAAGGCACTAAGACTAGCTTGCTTGTACCTGCCTCAATTTGAAGGAAATTTTTATCGAGTGAAATGCTAGTTACCTAGACAAAATACTAACCAATTATTTCTGTACTTTGAAAGAAGTATTTACATAAGGACTTATCTCATTTTTTACAAGTTTCCTGATCTCAGAAGGTAGTGAAGCCAGAGTGAACACAACATCTAGGCAACTAATATTATGTAAATAAGGTTGACAATGGCAGCCTGATGTTTCCTTTGTGGATTACTTGTCTGAAGTTAGCACAGGCACTCTTCACTTCACCTCATTTGACTCTTTGGTAAATCCAGCCCGCAGCAGCACCTCATCATCTTAGCCTGTTTTCTGTCCTATGATCTACCTATTTCGTTTGCATAATATCAAAGTGATGCTGTACTAGAACTTCCCGTTACTCAACTTCAAAAGACTCAGGCAGGTTCACAGAAGGATACACATTTCCTTCACTCATAATAATCTTGACAACTTCATTCTGCCGCAGTCACAAGAAATAAATGAATGAAAAAATAAAACCCGCTCCATTCTAAAGAACAAAGCTCTTCGCCGGGCAGTCTAGATTCACTTGATCCCATTAACACAACCACATGGATAAATCCCAGGGCAGGTAGAGGTGGCTCTCTTCTGTGCATATTTATTTTTGGCAGCTCTGCCAGGTCCTTTAGTTTAAAGCGGAACTTCACTCACTCAATAAACACTATTTTTAATCTTTATGCTCCTAGCATTAGTAAATAGATAGGAAGGTAAACTTTTTTTTTTTACATTTCTCATTTGCTTTCTGGCTTCCAGGACTAGGCAAATGATGCCATACATCCCAGGAGTCTTCAGGAGGAGTTTTATCAGCTAAGCACACCTTACTGCCTTCATACCTGAGCTAAGGGCAGATGGACTCCACTAAGCAAATGCTACATAATCAAGCATTACTTAAGATGGCCACAGCTAGAAATGCTAGGGTGGTGTTTTTCTTAGCAAATAAAACACGGAGACATGGATGGATGGATGAGTTTTTGATTTGAATATCAAAAATGAATTAAAGTATATATGAACTCTCTCCTTGTAAAACAATCCCATTCAGTTTAAAATGGAAATACAAGGCAAAACATTTGTTTATATGTATAAAAAAATTATTTGAATAACTTCTTTTTTTTATTTTTTAATTATGAATAACTTTTTTTTATTTCTGTTTTTTTTTTCACATAACCTCAGCTGCATAAGAGGCTTGGAGAGGTGGAGGTGGAGAAACAGCAGTGCACTAATCTTTGCAGTTAATGGCTGTGCAGGGGGTGTGTCAATAAACGTATTTGGAGAACAGGCAGGCTGTTCTCCCAGTTGAGTCAGAAAACTGACCATACTGGGATGGATGTGCTCTCATGCCTAGTGTGGTCATTTTAAAATTGGAAGGCAGAGGGACTGGCAGAATCTCCAGGAATTGCACACAATGAAAGAAATACAAACAGAACAGGATACCTTTTAACACACTTTAGCAAACTCTTTAAACAGCGTTTTTGGTCCGTGGTGCTCAGATGCAATGTAGTTCCGCTTCAACTTTTGCACAAATAACTTAAAAAGCAGACCTTGTCTAAACATACTCAGTCATCTATAGAAAACAAGGCTTGTTCTATTCTGCTGTATGTCACCACACAAATCCTGAGAGCAATGCTTAATTTCTTCCCACTTGAATATAGGTCACACAAATGCTTGCAGTGGAAATTCGCTTGTCTTTTATTGGCTACTTAGAACTTATAGAGACACAAAGCAGAGAACGCTCAGTGAAGTAAACACAGCCTGATCCAAAAATGTACCTTTATTTGAAGACATGGGAAAATAATGTTAAAGAAAGACGGAAAAGAATGGAATGCCACAGAGATAATCTGATACTGTGTGTGACTGTGGCTCCTACAGGTTGGTAATAAAAATTTCAGCAAAACAATGCATTCTGTCACCAGAAATGCTAAAAATCCGACTTTTCTCCACCGTGCTGCTTCACTATTCAGAAAATGAGTAAAAAAAAGCGGATGCCGACCGTGGATTCTTTTTACTTGAAAAGTATGAATTATTGCTAATTCGGTGCTACTCTGCTACCCTGGGCACACAGTGTAATTGCGGAGTATTCAAATGGATATTTTTAGGTTATTAGCTCTATTTTCTAATGCAAATTTAATCTGTGCCAAATAATTTCGAGGTTTTTAAAGGTATTATGTACGCAGGTTATGCATTTTGGCTTATACTAATGTGCATTACTTAAAGGAAGATGCTACTTGTGTTATATATGTAATTTGTAGTTCTCAAAGTTTAAGTTCACCTTTTCACAAAAAATGAAAAGGTGAGACAGCTATCTGATTGGATGCTGGTGCCCCATGTGACTATGGTGGCCATCTTGGGTCAGACAGAGTCTATTTAAGACCCAGGCCCCGGGTTCGGCGTGCATTTTTGCGAGTGGCAGTGTGGGGACAGTATACCCATATGTCAGGGAAAGAGCTTAGCGTCAGGAGTAGATTCTAGAGGAGCAGGAAAAGGGACATGCTAACATGCTATCCCTCCTGGAAAATCTCCCCATTTAGGTACAGACTAGCTCGCCGCATTCCACCCCTCAAGACAAATGATGTCATCAGTCTGCTGTTGCATCATTGCATAACCTGTGAGTGTTCCTGGTCGGGTTACCTTCCCACCGTATCTGTGGTATTGTACTGGACTTCTGTAACAATATATTCCTGTTACTGCACTTGGACTTCATGTGTTTTCTGCCGCTGCATCATGATGCAACTACCAATGATGACCAATCAGAATCACTTTATTCCATCCCAGAAGCCCTACAGATAGAAGGGGAAGAGAACAAGGATTTCATATCCCCAGACTGCTACACCAGCTGAGTGGGCACTCACGCACGGAGGTAAGCACAGTGGAGATCCAGAGGGTAAGTAGGGAGGGCGTATAGTTTTAGTTCACCTTTATAGTTTTTGTGAACTTACACTTTAAAGCTAATAGAAGTCTTACACCTTTGAATCTTGCTTGCTTGCTCTCAAGAAGGATTAGGGATTATGGACTATGGGATTTGTAGTGTGCTTAGAACAATGCACATGCCCGCAACTAACATGCAATACTTATTCCAAAAAAATGGAAAGGAGGGGTGGAAAGGAGAGGTTTGGGAGCTTACAGATGACACTACAAGCAGCCAGAAAAAACACAGAAACAATCAATTTAATGAAAAATAGATTACAAGGCCATTAGGTAGTGGATGTATATGGATTATTTTTGAAAAATAAAGATGTCATTTAGTGTCACTTTTTTAAGACCTGAGGACTGATTTTTAATATACTAGGAATAATGAATTTTTAAAAAATATGTTCTCTTTAACCTCTTGCTGCCTACATAATGCTAATGCTCAGCAGAAAAGGGAGTGGGCTTTAACACCCATACACCGCACAAATCCGTTCATGGCCGATAGAGCTTTCTGTGCTGAAAGCAAGACCCCTGCACACTCCCAGAACAGTGATTGAACTATCAAAGACAGCTCTTGGTCTCTGCTAATGATCAGTAGAAAGTGCTCCAATCATGTGACTATTGTGATAATCAATCACAGTGGTCACATGATCAGTGGATCCTTCCCGCCCCCCGTGGAGTAAACACACTGCTAAGGGGATGCTGGAGCTGGGTGGGAAGGGGTTATTAAGTCCCCAAGTCTTGCAGTTGTTTTTTAAATGTTAAACTAAAAGAAGATGCATTCAAAATCACAAATCACTAGTAAATATACATAACTTTAATCATAACTAATTAGTACTTCTTTGCCAATAAGGATAAATGTTGCAATGATAATCCAAATTATGTGCTCAGAAAAAGAAAAAAAAACTCAAAACACTATTATTGCCACGTTTGATAGTTTGGGAATTTGGCTGGGTTGGATTCTCTTTCATTTGATTATTATTATTTTCCCTCAAAGTAAGTTTGGCACCACCATACCATTAAACTGCACACTCAGATCATGTAAGTACACAACAATCATTTCAAAAGAAAAAAAATAGTTTGGCAGTACATACAGAAGCGGCAAACATCCAGCCTCTATGGCTAGCTTCATTGTAGGTCTGTTCTGCAGCTGAGCCCCCCTGTAGCTGTATAAATGTTTACACAACTGAATACAAATGACAAACATCAAATCCTAAATGATCATTGGGATTAGCTGACTAGAATAATAACTGCTGAGCTCCTAATGACATACTAAAATATATATCTTCACATTTGGTTAATGATGAATGTTAAACTGAATAGTCTGATTTGTTAGAATCTTGTTGACCAGGATGCTCAAATTTGTACAAGGAATTAACATCGAGTGCCGTTTACAGCATTTATCTCCGTAAGCTTGCCATACACATTAAAGCTGAAGTTTAATCTGCTTATATTTTGTCTTCCCTGGTTCCATTTCCCTTCCCCAATCAATATGCTAATGAAATGTTTAAATAAAAACTTTCACATTTTCAGTACATATCTTATTTTAGACCTAGTGTTGTCATCATTAGGTCTCAGTGATTCTGTATGCAATGCAGGCAGATAAGGGTTGGTGGGAGGGGCTGGCAGGGTGCTGGGTGCTTGCTGAAAACATCACGGCACGCTGAAAATACATTAATTTCAAGAGACCTCAGCTGTGGTGCAAGCAGTGGGCTGAATGTTTGGAGGAATTATGCAAATATAAAAATACCTTGATGGCAATTGCATGCTAGTTAACATCCACATGCAATACTCCTACATGACTGAAAGCATTGAAATCCAATAATTGAAAGGAGTGGGCTGGACAGTAAGTCTGGGAAGGAAAAAGCTGGATGATGCAGGACGCCCTCCAGCCAGGAAATGAGGCGGGCTATATCTGACTTGCTGCTCTTTCTAATGCATGCTGTGTGTGGCTCACAGTGTGCAGGGAAATCATAGGAAGCATTTTCAGTACAAGAGAGGAGTCTACAAAACTGTGCAATGCCATACGTAAGGCTGGAGTTAAACTTTAAATTATGGTCAGATATCATACATGATTACAAAGCTGGTTAAATTAAAAGAAAGAAGAACGGAAGTCTATTGATTTGAGAAGCATATTAAAAAAAAAACCTGGTGTGCAGTACCAAATGCCAGTTCAAGAAATACTTGGATTGTACTTATAAAGGGAAGCCAGCAGCCTGGTTAAAGTTTTCAATGGAGAAAAGCACCATGTTTATTAGGACAATTAAGTTATGAGAGGTTAGAACTAGTGGTGCAACGAAATGAAAATTCTGGTGCCGAAACCAAAACCGAAAATTCAGGATGCACTTGGCCAAAAACCAAAACCGAAAAGTTTTTAAAAATTAATTTGTATATTTTTTAGAAAAAAATACACTTTAATGATTAAAAACACCCCCACAATATATACCCCAATTTTTTTGTAAAATATGAAAGATGATGTTACGCCAAGTAAACAGATACCCAATATGTCATGCTTTAAAATTGTGCACGCACGTGGAATGGCATCAAACTACAGTACTTGAGTGATGCTTTAAAAATTTCTACAGAAATTTTTTTTTCCTTCTGGATATACTTTAACTTGAAAATTATCTTCATTGTACTGGTGGAGTTGTACAGTACATCAAAAGTAACATTTATTCCATAACACAAAATAGATATAAAATAGAATCCATTAAATGGAATACATTTCTCATACACATCAGTAAACATGCACAAAACTAGAATCAACAACATGAGTACACCCCACCAGATTTGTCAGAAAACCTTTATTTTCCTTTCAGAATAAACATTTTCTATGGGACACTATACTATAAAATACTCCCACAATTGTGGGCGATTGATTGCAAAGAAGATTTGTTTATTTGCACACACAAAAAAGTATTTTTCCTAACAAATTCATTCAAGACAATGTTGCAAAAATGAATACACGCCAATGAAAGTCTTAGGAGCAAAGCTAAGTTTTAGACAACAAAATCCTAATTAACCGGAATTCAACTACAGATGAGTCTAATTATTCATTAAACAGGTATCCAGCAGACAGTAGATTATAAAAGGGCATACTTAACAAAGAAAACCCCTTCCCATTTCACGCTGTCAGCAATGGCACCACGTGGAAGAGAAATGTCATAAGGCCTGAGAAAGGAAATCTTTTTTTTACACAAGAAAGGTGAAGGCTACAAGAAGATCAACAAAGCTTTACTTATCAGTCAGAATATAGCAAAAGTGATGCAAAAATTTAACAAAGATGGAACTGCAACCATCTCACAGAGATGTCCAGACCATCCTCGACAGGAGCATCTTCTGATGAGAAGGGTTGAAGAAAATTGCCATGCAAGTTCACTGTACTTAGCTAAAGAATTAGAAAGCCAAACTGGGGTGATTGTTTCCTGTGACACAATATGGTGTACACTGCAGAGGAATGGCATGCATGGGTGTCGTCCACGAAAGGAATCCTCTCCTAAAGCCCATACACAAAAAAGCTTGCCTAGAATTTGCCAGGGCCCATGCTGAAAAAAAAGAAGACTACTGGGACTCTGTACTCTGGAGTGATGAGACCAAGATAAATGTTTTCGGAACTGATGGCTTCAAAACTGTATGGCGTCGGAAAGGTGAGGGATACAAATAAAAATGCATGGTGCCTATAGTAAATTGTGGTGGCAGTTCCCTTCTTTTGGGCTGCATGAGTGCTGCTGGTGTCGGGGAACTTCATATTATTGATGGCATCATGAATTCGCAGATGTATTGCTCTATATCGAAAGAGAAGATGCTACCATCACTCCATGCCCTTGGTCGTCCTGCACTTTTCCAATTTGACAATCATCCAAAACACACATCTAAGGCCACTGTTCTGTTTCTGAAGAACAGAATGAAAGTAATTCAGTGGTCAAGTATGTCTCCTGGTCTGAACCCAATCAAAAACCTATTGGGAATTCTGAAGAGACAAGTTGAGCATCACTCTCCATCCAGCATCCAGGCTCAAAAAGAGGTTGTTCTTGAAGAATGGAAAAAGATAGATGTTGCAATATGTCACCTGTTGCAATAAGTCACCAACTTGTTCATTTCATGCCTAGAAGACTTGGTGCTGTTCTTACAAATACTAGATGTAGTAGTTTTTGTTGTGGGGTGTATTCATTTTTGCATCAACTAATTTTGAGTAAAACTGAAGATTTTGTAATCTAAGTTATATTATTAACTTTACTTTCATGTAATGAGCTAAACAAATGTTCTATAAAACTCAGCTTTATAAATATTTTGGAAATTGTTCTTGTGTTCATTGAGATATTAATTAAAATCTCACTTTTCAAAAGGGGTGTACTCATTTATGGTGAGGCCCTGTATATATATATATATATATATATATATATATATATATATATATATGTATATATAACCTATATGTGCCGATGTGTAATGTATGGTTAGGGGCGATGCAATGCCTTGTAACAGCAAACCCCACTGTTTCCCTTTTATTCTTAGATTGTAAGCTCTAATGAGCCAGGCCCTCTGATTCCAACTGTATTGTATTGTAATTGTACTGTCTGCCCTTATGTTGTAAAGCTCTGAGTAAACTGTTGGCACTATGTAACTCCTGTATAATAATAATAATAAAAATTATTTTTAAACTTTATTGAAGTGTCACAAAATGGCACTTCATTTAACTCTATGTACTGCAGTGTGTTGCGGCACGCTGTGTTGTGTAAGAATGCATCATGTCTACATCCCATAGAAAACATACTTTGATTTGAGTTTGCATTGATCTAAGCAGATCAGCTCAACTTAACGAACACGGTCTGAATGAGCCCTAAATGCCAGGGAGTGTGCCGCATGCCAGCCACAAGCCAGTGATATTACACGGTCCTGTTACCAGATGATGTCAGAATAATGAGAGACATATAAACTGGTCCTGTATGTCAGGTCATAGTAGAAAATATCAGGAGAGAAGAAGATGTTGCCATGACCTTCACCTTAGAGTGATCTAACACCATTTTAGTTATATACTGAGGATTCAAATGATCTTGGTGAACGTACAGTATATCTACAGGAGGCATACTTCCTGATCTAATATTTTTGGTACAGACGCTGTGGCAAATTATGTTTTTATAATGATATGATTTAGTGTTCTCTTGTATTTCTAGTCATTATTATGGGCTCAATGCTGTGCGGCTGCAGAACTGTACATACAGTACTAATTTCTTTCAACTTTGTTGCATTTTGAGGGCCCTTTCACAGCAAACGCATTGGTTCGTTTTGCACTGGGCAGCCTTGCCCAATGCGTAGGCAAAGCAAAAAGTCTATGTACAGTGCTATGCACAGGTTTCTATAGGCTACTCCTCCAGCTATAGATCCACTGAGATATGGACCTTTTGCTACGGGTTGGAGAAAGTATTAGTGGACTACAAGTATGGTGACTTACCATGCTTGTGCTCCATTGAGATCTAAGAGACCTTTTGCTGCAATGGCATATGGGACTTGTAGTCTCTCCAGTCTGTAAATGGATGTTGTGACTGTGTGGGCCATGGGTAAAGCATGAAACATGGTCAGAAAGGAGGACATAATCTTTAAAGCTGAACTAGGCAGATACAAAACCACTATGCAAACCATGAATACATTATAAGTACTCTTGGTATCAGAGTAAGTTTTCTTGGTACAAGCCTCTTGTCATGCCATGTCAGGACACACAATGACAAGGAACATGATATGGAAAAAGCAGAGTGACAGAGACAACCCTACCCTGTGCTGATTTTTCTTCTCTGTCTAGTCACAGATTGGAGGCAGGTCTATGACAGCATGGGTTCAAAGTGGGCTGAGTGATGTCGGTCATCGATTACCCTGGATGACTGAGGATATCTACTGATGGACAAACATAGTTCTGGACTAAACTGAGTATTGCATGAAAGCTTGTTTTTATTTTATCTTTTTTGGACTATTTATTTTGTTTAATTTTTGTCAGGAGTTCTGGTTTATTATGCTGTTCTTGGTGGTCAGAGTACTGGCATATAGCACTGGAATATATATATATTCACTAATTAAGCCTGTGTAACCAAATCTTTTTGGCTTAGTTGGCTGAGTGATAACAGAGAGAAATAACACAGAGATGCAAATTCCAGTTTTTGATCTAAATTAGGAGAACATGATTCTTTCATAAAATAGGAAAAATCTATATCCCTTGGATAATCTGTAAAAGTAAAACACTTTACCAAAAAATGGTAAACTCCTGCAAGGGTACAGTTGTAAGGATTACCATTCTAAATATACTTCATGTTTGTAAACTTGTTCTGAATGTGTTATGATTCTACATATTATACTTGTTGTACCTGTATTATGCTAAGGTTGGAATTCCCAAAGATCAGTTGCATTTACATTGAAGGGCCTCCAAGATTTTCAATCAGAACACTTGTTAGCGCATAAGAAGCGCCTAAAGTCTCTTTGCTTCTGTGTCTGCATCTGATTCTGATGCATTATGTATTATGCAAATGTATGTTGTTATCTAGCCGCAGAGGTTCACGTACCATTAGCATCTGGTTCAAAATACCGCCTTGAGGATTTTTATATCCAGTTTTCTAGATGATGCTAAAAAAAATCAGCAGCTTTCCCCCCGAAAAGGGAACCAATAAAACAGTATGTGCGTCTCTTAAAAGTGCTATTTTTATAAGTAATGGACAGATTTGTACCTGATCGATCTCTAGGGTCTTTCTTCTCATTTTTGGCTCATTGAGAAGTTCTTCTAACTGCTCTTGAAAAGCTCAGAGGTAACTTCTGTTCACTCTACAACTCTCCTTGACTGTGATGTTATTTTTTCCATATACAAAAAGTGAAATATCTGGTTTTGAAAGGGGTTTATGCTCCATTCACACTTATGCAGGTGTGAAGGAGCACACATTTTTTGTATGATTCTGAGTCATTTTATACATTTCATTTAGTGCAGCCCAAAAATCTCACAAACTGCATGACCCTTATTTTGAAATTGTGCCTTACCAAAACACCTGGTAGTTTGTTACCATGCATTTTGGTTACACAAAAGTGTGCACGTTAGCGTGGTGCATTGCGGTGCCACTGCCACACACCCTGCAAAGATGTGAACCATGTGAAAATAAATACTTCTCTGATAATTATGATAGTTTCATAGTTAGGTAAGTTGCAAAAAGACACAAAGGCAAACAAAAGACAAGATAAAAAAAATTCCAATGAGTGTCAGGAAGATACCCCAGTAAAGTTGTAGTAAACTTGACATTTCAGAAAAAAAAATACCCTGCATGGCAATGACATAATGTGCTAGTCTGCATCACATACTAGCACAATATTATTATTATACAGTATTTATATAGCGCTAAAAGGTTTGCTCAGTGCTGTACATTATAGTGGGGGACAAAACATGAGACAATACAGTAACAAAACAAAACACGAGGGGGTCAAGGACCCTGCTCTTTCGAGCTTACAATCTAGAATCTATGACATGCATACCCTAGAATAAAGCCCTCCAGCAGGTTGCTGTCACCGCTGACAGGGCTTCCACCTTCCACTGGTCTTTCTTCTGGGTTCACAGGCTCCAGCTGTATGAATGGCCAAATTGTGATGACGTCATTCTTACACATGTGGTTGGGAGCCATGGCTCCGGTATGGAGCTCTGAAGGTAAGGCAGGGGTAAGCCATCCCATCAGAGAGCATGTGCTGGTGATGTCACCAACTCCATCCTCTGTGAATATCTCCTAAACAGTGCAAGTTTAGAAGATATTCACTGTACCTACATGTAATCTTAGCATAGGCTTACCTGTAGGTACAATTTCAAAAGTGGACTTTACTACCACTTTACCTGAGACAAGTACACATTAAAGAGGGATATGCTTTGTTCACATTTCATGTGTGAAGTTTACAACCACTTTAATAACAGAATCCACTTGCTAGTATCATCTATTGGTATATTCTTATATCATTGAACTATATGAGTACATCTGTGACAAAACTGATTCACTCCTATAACAAGTAGTTATAAGAGCAGGATGATGGCAATACTATTCACATAGAGGTTACATTAGAAAAATAATTTTTAGCATTACTATAATGAGGGATGAAAACTGTGAATATTGTATGTACCGTATGTTTTATGTAAAAACCCTTTACTTTGTTGAGCTTTATCAAACAAAACCTCCATCCCAACTGTCACCAACCAGCTGTAAATGAGAAATAGCTGAGGAAGATGCATACCTTAAAACATTCTTTTGAGCACAATCAGCACACTGTGTTTCCCTGGTTTAAAAGTACAGTTGCAAGAAAAAGTATGTGAACCCCTTGGGATTACGTGGAGTTTTGCATGAATTGGGCATAAAATGTGCTCTGAACGTCATCTAAGTCACAACAATAGAAGAACACAGTCTGCTGAACATAATACTACACAAACATTAGATGTTGCCATGGTTTAATTGCACATAACATGTAAACATTCACAGTGCAGGGAGGAAAAAGTATGTGAACCTTTGGACTTAATAACTGGTTGACCCTCCTTTGGCAGCAATAACCTCAACCAAACGTTTCCTGTAGTTGCAGATCAGACCTGCACAACGATCTGGAGTAATTTTGGACCACTCCTCTTCACATACTTTTTCTTGCAACTGTATTTGATATAACTAGAAGGCTAACCTAACCACAGACAACAATGCCTTGGGAATCTGTTTTGGATAAGCATCAGGAGACCATTCAAGTTTAGGCTTATGGAGGGAACCACAGGTGGGACATTTTAGATGTCAATGGCTATTCACCTGATCATTCTTAACTGGAAATAATAATCTAATATCTAACAGTCTATGGTAACATTTCACAATCCCTTTACCCCAGATTAACTCTTGAAATAATTTTCAGGACT